TATTACTTTTGGGTGCTTGTGACAACACACAACATATTTGCATTCTTATAAACGAATTCCGGTAGTAAAACTTGAAATCACAAAAACGATGTTGAATCACTAGCCTTTGTTTTGCTTACTTTCTATACGGCTTTTTACTCATTTTTTGGTCAGAAACTTGATCACAAGGGATGATAGCCACAATCAAAGAACCAAATTTAAGATGTTATACTTTCAAATCAAGTCGTAAGCCATATGTGTTTTTCATCCTTTTCTTCGTAGACGAATTCTGCATTTATTCTTCATATGATATGGGTATAGTTGAGGATGTATATGGAAGTTGTATGTTGTTAAAGGTTGATTTTCAAATTCAATTTCTAACTTTTCCCACCAAAACCCATTTCCATTCAATTCGGGTCGGGTCGGGTCGGGTCGGGTCAACCCACATGGACGATCGTTTATTCCAACAATATCAATGTTTGCAAGATTGCAACACGGTGAAATGTCCTACAAAAGAATTGAAATCTCATATCAAAACACTATGTATGGATGATATGAATTACCCAACAAGAATTCTCGAACACCGAACAACCAGTTCAAATATTCACAATTGAAAAGTATTAGATTCTCTTTCGATAGGCCTCATGCAATTGAGCTTCCAAGACTAGATTGTTACCATGTGGCCTAGAGGCTACTTGTGCTAATAGAACTTTAATTTTCGTAAAAAAAGAAAAAAAAGGGAGAATTCATTGTGGACACATAACAAACTCGAATGGTCCATCCATGGGCGGACCTACAGTAGGGCCTAGTGGGGCACGTGCCCCACTAGATGTTGAAGATTTTTTTTTCATCAAAATTCAAAACCCTCACGTCTTTCCTCTCATCTCTCCCGTCTATGCGCCGTTGAGTCTTTGACGGCCACACCGCACCAGTTCACTCTCCGTCCTCTCTCCCACAGTTGACAGTCCCACGACACTCTCCCACTATACGTCGATACACCGCACACTGACACAGCCACCCAAGGGCGGACGCGACAATTTTTTTGTTCGCATCAATCTTGCACCGCAGCCATGCTCCGCATCCACTCGTTCCAACTCCCCCTTCCTCTTCTCTGAGTAGTGAGCTCTCTCGGTCTCCCCGACAGAGGACATTGGTTGTCGCTGCTCCGGACCGGTGACGAGGTAAGATTACGACCAGATTTTTAAACTTTTGATTTGGTTCTTTTGGTGCTTTCCATTGATAGTGTTATGTGCGAAGAAGAAGAACCCAAATCCTTGTTAGTCGGCGTTTGTCTAATGGTTTTAAAATGGTGTCGTTTGTTTTACTTTAGTTTTAATTGCTTTTCTTCTGAATTTGTAAGCATGCAGTCATACGACATTGGTAATTGGTTGATATAATTTGTTATTTGTCTGCATGTGTATTTATTCTGCTGTAAAGTTGATTTATTTAAGGGATAGGTCCAC